GAAGACATCCGCGGCCACCGCCCGTGGAGGCCTCCGACTCTCTCCACAGCCTGGCGGTTGAAAGAAGGAACGATAAAGCAGGAGCGACCCCCCCTCCTTGGCCGCGAGAAGCGCCTGCGTGCACGAGGAGGGCTAGGGTCACCGCCGCAAAAGGCCCTAAAGAGCATCGAGCCCCTTTCTCGGGGGCGTGCAAGCATAAACTGGCGATCCATGAAGTCGGCGCGCGGTCGCCAAATCCACGGATCGGGTGTGGTACCCTCCCCAAAATGCGGCCGGTGCCGCCTCGTTCGGTGGCGGAGATCCGCGACTTCCCATGGAAACGGGACCCGTCGCTGATCCACGCCCCCCCTGGACCCATGTTTGCGATCGCCCGACTTTCGAGCCCCTTTCCAACCCCAACGTCTCGACTGTGCTGGGGAGACAAAAAGATACCGATACCGCTTCTCCCCAGACCTCTCCCGGGGCGCGTTCTGACCAGGATCTCGAGGCGACTCCGGCGGTGGCGACGAGGGCCTCCCAGGAGGCCCCGAAACAGGGCAAACGGGCGGAGGGTAGCGGCGTCGGTACCTCTTCCTCCTCTTGGGCCCCCGCCCCTCGTTGTGGAGGTACCACATCACGCCCTCGAGGTCTCCGAGGTTCACCTCCCCCGGCGGCCGCCGGCCGCCCGCTCCATCGTGCCCGCTCTGCCCCCGCCTCTGCCGGTGCGCTCCGGGTCCTCCGCCACTCCCCGTCGCGGCCGCGCGGCGCGGCCTCCTGTCTTGAACGAAAAATTGTAGTATTGAACGAAATTTTGAAACGAAAATTGCAATAACACTATATTGAACGAAACATTGAAATATTGAACGAAATTCTGAAATATTCGAAACGGATTTGCAACGATATATGTCCCCCTGCAGGCGGATTTTGAACGAGAAATGGAAATAATTCCGAGAAGGCTCCGAGATGCTCCAAAGTACTCGAAGAGTCGTCCCCCGACTACTCCAGATTTCGTAATAAAAGGGAGGGGGTCTGGACCCTCCAAGACAAGCCATTTCAGACCTCCCCTGTGGGAGAACCCTCCAAAACATCGTCCCCAGACCCCCCCAGGCCCTCCAAGATAGCCTGGAAGAGACCCCCCCCGAAATGAGACCCCCCTCCCTTTATTACGAAATCTGGGGCATGCTTGGACCATGTTTGGAGACCCCTCCCCGTGGAGAGAGGCACGCCCGACTCTCCCGAGCCTGCCGGCAGGACGAGGGCGGCCCTCTGGCGTGCTCTCGTCGAGAAAGACTCGTCTGCACGCAGGAGCGCCCCTGGGCAGGAGGAGGAGGAGGAGGAGGAGGAGGAGGAGGAGGAGGAGGAGGGAGGGAGGAGGAGGAGGAGGAGGAGAGAGGAGGAGGGGAGGAGGAGGAGGAGGAGGAGGAGGGAGGAGGGAGGGAGGAGGAGGAGGAGGGAGGGAGGGGGAGGGAGGGAGGGAGGGAGGAGGAGGAGGAGGAGGAGGAGGAGGAGGAGGGAGGAGGAGGTTGGGCGGCGCGGGCAGACCAAACACAAGCGCGCAGGCCGCTGCCGTCGCAACCGCGCTCGGCGATCGGGGGACCCCAGTGGGCCCGCACCACAGGGGAAGGGTCACTCTTACGGGTAGACGATAAACTAAGGCCGTCAACAAATTACCCTGGCAACGTACCCAACCCTTGCGCAATGCGGGGCGTAAGTGTATCAGGATTGCTACAACGGGGGCGATGACGCAACATGGACGCATGTGATTTTGCGAGCAGCAATCGGAAGGCTCGCAGGCACCCGATCAAGATCTAAGGGCTACGTAATAACAAATCACCCCCCGTTGGCTGTGCCATGCACCCGTTGCACCCAACGTATCCCACAGCAACTTTTGAGAGCCCCTCAGGGACGGTGAGGTCTCGTTTAGATTCCCGCGGTGCCTCACTCCGCAGGACCCACCAGCAGCCCTCGAAAGTGGCGACGGTGTCGCAGATCGCAGCCCCCCCAGGGACGGCGAGGTTCCGCTCAGATCCCCGCGGTGCCTCGCTCCGCAGGACCCACCAGCAGCCCTCGAAAGTGGCGACGGTGTCGCAAATCGCAGCCCCCCAGGGGCGGCGAGGTCCCGCTCAGATCCCCGCGGTGCCTCACTCCGCAGGACCCACCAGCAGCCCTCGAAAGTGGCGACAGTGTCGCAGATCGCAGCCCCCCAGGGACGGCGAGGTCCCGCTCAGATCCCCGCGGTGCCTCATCCGCAGGACCCACCAGCAGCCCTCGAAAGTGGCGACGGTGTCGCAGATCGCGGAGGGACGGCGAGGTCCCGCTCAGATCCCCGCGGTGCCTCACTCCGCAGGACCCACCAGCAGCCCTCGAAAGTGGCGACGGTGTCGCAGATCGCAGCCCCCCAGGGACGGCGAGGTCCCGCTCAGATCCCCGCGGTGCCTCACTCCGCAGGACCCACCAGCAGCCCTCGAAAGTGGCGACGGTGTCGCAGATCGCAGCCCCCAGGGACGGCGAGGTCCCGCTCAGATCCCCGCGGTGCCTCGCTCCGCAGGACCCACCAGCAGCCCTCGAAAGTGGCGACGATGTCGCAGATCGCAGCCCCCCAGGGACGGCGAGGTCCCGCTCAGATCCCCGCGGTGCCTCACTCCGCAGGACCCACCAGCAGCCCTCGAAAGTGGCGACGGTGTCGCAGATCGCAGCCCCCCAGGGGCGGCGAGGTCCCGCTCAGATCCCCGCGGTGCCTCACTCCGCAGGACCCACCAGCAGCCCTCAAAAATGGCGACAATGTCGCAGATCGCAGCCCCCTAGGGACGGCGAGGACCCGCTCGGATCCCCGCGGTGCCTCACTCTGCAGGGCCCACCAGCAGCCCTCGAAAGTGGCGACGGTGTCGCAGATCGCAGCCCAGCAGGGACGGCGAGGTCCCGCTCAGATCCCCGCGGTGCTCCACTCCGCAGGACCCACCAGCAGCCCTCGAAAGTGGAGACAGTGTCGCAGATCGCGGCCCCCCAGGGACGGCGAGGTCCCGAGCAGATCCCCGCGGTGCCCCACTCCGCAGGACCCACTAGCAGCCCTCGAAAGTGGTTACGGTGTCGCAGATCGCAGACCAGCAGGGACGGCGAGGTCCCGCTCAGATCCCCGCGGTGCCTCACTCCGCAGGACCCACCAGCAGCCCTCGAAAGTGGCGACAGTGTCGCAGATCGCAGCCCCCCAGGGACGGCGAGGTCCCGCTCAGATCCCCGCGGTGCCTCACTCCGCAGGACCCACCAGCAGCCCTCGAAAGTGGCGACGTTGTCGCAGATCGCAGCCCCCCAGGGACGGCGAGGTCCCGCTCAGATCCCCGCGGTGCCCCACTCCGCAGGACCCACCAGCAGCCCTCGAAATTGGCGACAGTGTCGCAGATCGCGGCCCCCCAGGGACGGCGAGGCCCCGCTCAGATCCCCGCGGTGCCTCACTCCGCAGGACCCACCAGCAGCCCTCGAAAGTGGCGACAGTGTCGCAGATCGCAGCCCCCCAGGGATGGCGAGGTCCGCACAACGCAAAAGAAGACGGAGACGGGAGGCGGAAGGAGGGAGGCGGGAGGAGGAGGCGGGAGGAGGAGGAGAAGGAGGAGGAGAAGGAGGACTCTGGAGACCGCAGTGCTGTCTTCAAAACGCAAACCCAACCAAGAAGGGTTGGGAACAAATATTTCGGGATGGAACGCCGGTCCCGGGGAAAAGCCCAGGCCCGACTTTCACCGCTTTTCGGGTTCAGAATTTCTGGGGTCGGACCTCTGTCCCCCCCGCATACCGTTGCCCCTCTCCCTTCCCGTCCTCCCCGTCTCTGCGCCCCTCTCCCTTCCCTCTCCCTCCCCGTTCTGTTCAGCCCTCCTTTCCCTCCCCTCCCTCCCCTTCCTTCCACCCCCCTCCCGGACCTGCTCGCGGCACAATGGGATCACCACGACGAGCGGGCTTCATGCCTGCCGTCGGCGTCTGGCTATACGGACCCCGAAACCGTGACAAAAACGCTTAGGATGCAAAACAAGTCACAGGGAGTGGGTCCTGGTCTCTGGACAACCAGGTTGTGATGGAAACGGTGTCGGAGCTATGCGGGAATCATGATACGATTGGCCCACGACACGTGCCAAGAACTCTGGGGCATCTAGCGGACCGCCTTCTTGGACCCCGCGCGGGACAAGGGAAACGCTTGGAACTCATGGAACGTGTCATTGTCAGGACCTCTTGCGCGTCTGAGCTAAGTCGGAAGCTGCGTCTGCTACTGTTCCTGCCCCCTCGCCCCAAGAACCTCGGATGCAGAACAGAGGCCCTCGTTTTGGGGGCCCCAGCTAGCGCGAAACCCGAAGTGGTAAGGCTTCGGGCTGCGCAGAACCAGCCCCCCGAGGCAATCCAGGCGAGCCTCCACAAGCCCCTCGAGCAGGCCAAGACTGCCTCAAGAGGGCCCCCGAAAAGTCTGGGGCGGTCTCAAAGGCCCAAGGGGCGCCGCCGGAGGCAGCGCCAGGGCGTTGAGACCGCCCCGTGCTACTTCCTTCTTCGTCCTCCCAACCCTCCGAAGCCCGCCTCAGCCTGGACAGGTGTTTGTCGGGACCCCCAGGGGAAGAAACAAAATAGCTTGTTCCCGTCACCGAAGGATCTTCAGTAAACGAGCCCCTGAGCGACCGAAGGAATGTCGCCAATGCGCTCAGTTTCTATCGGCTGCTTGTTTTAGAGCGGTTGTAAGTTTGAGTGGTGCCCTAGTCCCCCTTCAGCTGGAACCCACAAACGTGATTTGGAGCGGATTTGAAATTCCGTGGTTTTGCACTGCGACGCGGCGGGTGGGGTAGACGCGCACGCGCTGCCAAACTAGAAGTGCGAGGCATGACTTGGTTGCGCTTGGAAGCGGAAGCGGGGGAGGTAAATCCATCTCTGCGGTGATGAGAATGAAACCTTTGGTGCTGAATGGCGTCGTTCCAATTTCTGCTATTACTGTCGGCGCTGCTGCTGGGAGGGAGCGGCGATGACGACGACGGGCGCGACGAACGGAATGTTTTTTCCCAGCACTCTGGTGAACACGTCTGCCGTCCGAGCGGAATGGCACGAAAGCCGCCCGCTGCAACACAAACTGGGCAGCACAGCTGTCACGAGAGCATGGATGCAACAGGCTGAGGAGCACCTTCCCCCGTCAGAGGCGGAGAGGCAGCCCAGGGAGATGGGAAATACATTAGAACACGCATAGAACGCACCAGATGCGAACCCAGGGAAGGGGCCATTTACAGGATTCGAGCCACATGTTGTTCATGATCGGCGCGATGTGCGCCCCGCGCACCGCCCGCTCTCGAGAGCCAGGGCGCACGGCGTTGCCAGGGGCGACAACGCGAGGCACCCACCTGGCAGCGCCGGCCCAAAAGGCCAGACCACCGAAGCCGCTCCCCCGTCGCCCGCGCGGGCTCGCAGCTCGCCGTCTTGGCGAGCCTCGCGAGGCTGCACGAAGGCACAGCCTCGAGCACATCCGAACCGACGGGACGTCTCCGCCACTCTCTCGTCGAACAGCCGAAGTGCTTGAGCTGCGTGCCAAGCCACTCCCTCAGGAGACACTGGCAGGGCGCCAGTCGACGGTTTTCAGCATGCGTCGCAGCTCGTCGCTCGCCTGGGGCTGGCAGTCGGCCGCCCTTCGCAGGACGTCGTCGGCCGCGGCGAACAAGTCAGCGAAGGCAGCCGCTCCGCAAGCCCAAGGCCCTCCGGAGGCCGCAACCGCCGCGGCCGTCGGCGCAGCGCCCGCAGCAGGCGGGCCAGGGCCCGCGCCCGCTGCCCCCGCCGCCGCCGCCTCATGCGGGGCCTCCTGGAGGCGCCGACGCCGCAGCCTCCTCTGCACGACACAGGGCAGGAGGCTGTCGGCCCAGGCGCCATCCAGTCCATGCCGTCGTCTGCGACCTCCGCCCCTCCAGGCGCCTCGGCAGCGGCAGCCGCCAGGGGCCCCCTGACCAGGCTCGGCACCGCGTGCGCCTCCAGGCCCAGCCTCTGCACGAGCAGCCCGCGGCCGCTCCGCGGCCCGCAGACGGCGGCGGCGCCGCCTCGCCGTCTCTTCGCGCCGCCCGTGGCGCGCGCACGCCCGCCGCGCGCTCCTCGAGGGGGCCCGCGTCTCCACCAGCGGCGCCATCGGCTGGTGCGGCCGCGAACGCGGCGGCAGCGACGGCAGACCGCGCCACGGCGGCGACGGCCCTGCGAGGAGCTCGCGCGAGCACCGCGGCGCGCGCGGCAGCCTCAACGAGCGAGGCCGCCACCGGAGCCGCCGGCGCCCCTCCGGGCCGCGCCGCCCTCCCCCGCGCAGGCGCGAAGCCTCGGCGAGGACGGGCAGGGCCGTTCGGCCGCTCGAGCCAGATGAGGATTCGAGCCACAGGACAAGGACCATCTATAGGAGCATACGTAAAACGCGCGGGTCTCGAGCCACAGGAAAAGGATCTATACATATATATATATATAGGAACAGACGTCAAACACATAGCATTCGAGCCACAGTACAAGGGCAATATATAGGAACACGCGTAAAACACGCAGGAGTTGAGCGGCCCCAGAAAACAGGGATTTCAGCTGAAATCGAACCAAAACTCCATAGTGAGTCGCACTCCTGAGCCAAACCGATCCAGAGCACCATAGCGAGCTCCATGTACGAGTCTGCGAGGGCTGACATCGAGCTGGAACTTCGTGGTGAGTCGCGCTTCTGCACCACGTCGGGCCAGTCCACCATATAGTGAGCGCTGCTGGATCGCCTTGCCGCGGACCGGGGAGACGCCTCCCCCCGGCCCCCCGTGGAGTCCGTTCAGAGGAATCTTGCAACTCTGACCCCTACTTAACCAAACGCTGTTATCGGCGGTGGACTAACCTCCCTTTCGCAAACCTCCCCTTCGTGAAAACTGCCTGGGACCGAAAACGACGGACCTGGACCCGCAAAAGTGACGGCCGCGACGCGCCCTCTCGCGCACCGACAACGGCCAATTCACTAATCGACGTGTCAGGGCAGGAGGTCTGTCCACCTCTGACTACCTACCAGACCACCCCAACCCAACCCGAAGACCCGAATTTCGGGTTGGGGGGGGTATGGGCTCCATGTGTGCTTTTTCGATGTTCCCGGACCCCCCCCCACTAGAAATCGAAGGTAAATCTGAGCCTTCGGGTTGGGTTGGGGTGGTTTGGTGGGCGGTGAACCTCCGATTCCGACGACCTAGCGATGGGGACGAAAAAAAACGCGGGCCGCGCATGGGCGGGAGCCGAACGTCAGATAACTCCTGCGCGGCGCGGCGGCGAGAGCACCACTCTCAGCCCTCCCTCTCTCGGACGGCCAGATGTACACCCTGCGAAATGCTTAAGAAATCATGGGTTAAGAAATTCATAGTCTCAGAAATGGAATAAAACCCAGAACTTCTATCAAAATCTTGGGATTTATATGGAAAAGTTAAGAATAATCGAGACTCTGGACGAAAACTTAGGTTTTCTTAAGCATCGCCTAAGGTGTACGATGGGCGCGGCTAGGGGGCCACGTGCGAACCCCACCCTCCCCCTCAGAAATCGTGGGGGGTAGGGGTAGGGTTCGCATGTGGCCTCCTGGCGGCGAAACCTACACGCCGGTCGGAAGGAGTAGGCAGAAGCACGACGTAGGAGGGCGTTGGAAGCAGATTGGGTGTCCGCCCGCCTCCTGAAGAGGAGGGACGAGGGAAAACCACTCGACTCTTGAAGTAGGAAGCCGGATAAAGCAGATTGTCGGGTCGGGCGAATGGGGGGGGTAGCAAAGGGGGGGGTGAGAATCAGCTCACGTAGCTGATTTTCCTGGCGTCTCCCTGCGCCGGAGCCGGCTATGTATCGTGGAATGGGCCCCTCGCTGAGGCCGAAACCAGCTGCATGCAGCAGATTTCGTACCCCCCCCTTTCCCAATCCCCCCCTTTCGTCCAACCCGAGATTGGGAACCTGGGAATCCGAAGACACCGACTTTCCACGACCGATGGCCAAGTGTGCGCCGCACGGCGACCTGTGGCGGAGGCAGCAGGTCGCCCGCTCTCACGCCGACTCCGCTGCCGGGTGCCGGTGTTTCAGCGGCCCCGGCGAGCGACACGTGCGCCGCGCGCACGCGGGAGCGCGATCCCCCGGAGGAATGAAGTAGAAAATACTAGCATCTCTTAAAAAGATAACAGACTACAAACACTTTTTGTGGTTCCAGCTCGTGTGGCAGACCGATACTTGAGACTGGCGCTCCTCTGGATTGGAATCTACACGGAGAAGGGCACCAACACCGAAACAGGGGGCTGCCTCCACCAGGGGAAGCTGATGCCAGATTTGGGCGTCGGCGTTCATAGTTCGGCCCTCTACGAAGCCAGGATCCTCTGCCCTCGAAGGAGAGGCGCACCGCCGACATTGGCGTTGGTGCCAACCTCTTAGGCCTCCGAAGATCTACACACGGAGCGGAGGCGAGGGGCGACTGGTCGCCCGCTCGCGCGCGTCCCCCAATCGGCATTGTCTCGCCCGGTCGCGCGACGACGAGCTGTCGCCTCCTCCCTCCTCCGCCTCCTCCTCCTCCTCCTCCTCCTCCTCCTCCTCCTCCTCCTCCTCCCTCCTCCCTCCCTCCCTCCCTCCCTCCCTCCCTTTCTCCTCCTTCCTCCTTCCCCTCCTTCCTCCTCCTCCTCCTTCCTCCTTCTCCTCCCTCCTCCCTCCTCCCTCCTCCCCCTCCCCCTCTCTCCTCCTCCTCCTCCCCTCCTCCTCCTCCTCCTCCCTCCTCCTCCTCCTCCTCCTCCTCCTCCTCCTCCTCCTCCTCCTCCTCCTCCTCCTACGGGCAGGTGCGCGCCGCACCCCCGAGGGGAGCGCAGCTCTCGAATTTGGCTTAATAGAAAAAGCATCGCGGCGCCGAGGCGACGGCGACGTGCCGCCATGTTCCCGCGCGACGCACGCCCCGGCCCCGTTCCTGCCACGTATTTTGCAACGTCGACACCAGAACATCCATGTTGGAAACAAAAAATGTTGGAAACAATAAACAAAGAGAGAGAGAGAGAGAGAAAACAACAAAAAAAAAAAAAAAAAAAAAAAAAAAAAAAAAAAAAAAACGACGCTGTATTGTTTTTGACAGGCAGGATGGAACGTCCCGAAAGGGGGGAGGCTATCTGCTGGCTAGATGGCCTACTAAGGACACATGCGAATAAGGAACATGGAAAAGGATGGGGAGGGAGGCGAGGAGGATTTGGAGAAGGGGGGCAGCACGAGGGGGAGATCCGATGGGCCCTTGGACACAAGAAGAATAGGAGGAGAAGGACGACGACGAAGACGACGACGACGACGACGAGGGCGAGGGCGGGACGAAAAACGAGGGCGAGGTTAGGGACGACGACGGGGACAAGGACGACGAGGCCAGGAAAACAGGCAGAAGGCACATACACACCACCACCGTGCCTGGCCGAACCATCCTGGGCCCTGGCATCACAGAGAGGCCCCTGCACCAACCTGGGGCCCAGGAGGGCCCCGGCCAGACGCGGCGGCGGTGCGCAGGTGCACCCTGCGGAGGACAGGACTCGAGGAGGAAGCGGGCGTCTCGCGTTGCGCATCGGGTAGTTCTGGTCGCTCTGCGCGCGGTAGACGTAGAACTCCAGCGGCGGATTCTCCTCCGCGTAGCCCTCGTCGGGCGCCTGCCGCGAGCAGCTGGGGCACGGGAGCACGGGAGAGCACGGCGCCCCTCCCCCTGGGCGGGCGTGCGGCAGACCCGGGCGAGTTCTGGCCGCTCCCCCGCGCCATCCCGCGAGAGCTAAGTCGGGCCTGTCCCTCCACAGGGGGATTCTGGGCGAAAAATCAAAAATACCCCCACCCACCCCCCAAAAAAATACCCCCGAAATGCACAAAAAAAGTCAACATAAAACTAGTCCCCTGACCATTTGTTCGAGTATGTTTGCATATGCCCTTCTGCAGAGGGACAGGCCCGACTTAACGCAAGAGAGCGGCGCTCTTTCCGGCCGCTCTTCCCGCCGCCTCCCCGCACGCTGCTCGAGCATCCGGCGGTTGCACCGGCGGGCGCGGGGGGCGAAAGAGCCGAGGGCAAGGGGCGAGGGCGAGAAGACGAGGCGACTGAAGACGGCCTCTAACCAGTTGAAGAATGCTGCGCCCGGCAAGTCCGTGAAGGTGGACTTCAAGGCTCGGTGTCGACGGCGGTCTGGCCTTCGAGCAGGGTGCTGGCAATCTTGCAGGAAAGTTTTAACGCCGTACGCATATTTGTCGCTCTAGAACGCACGGGGGCGGGGGAAAAGGAGGAACGGTGAGGGTGATCCAGAGCTCCGACGCCGTGCTGCGTTGACCCGCCGAGGTCTGTACCCCTTTCCTGGGGCCAGCTCGCCACCCCAGAGTCGTTCTGCCGACGACCCATGCAGCCTGCCGTCGCAGGAGGCCTGGAAAGTCGGGGATCCCAAAACCGTTTGGTGACAGACCGTGCGGCAACCTCGGAACCCCAAGAGACCTCACCGCACGGTCCGTCACCGCACGGTCTTGGGACCCTGGAGGCTCCAGTCGCCCGAGACATCCTCGGAGAGTGGCCCGAGTCCCAAACCGTGCGGTGACCCCGAATCCCCACCGACTCACCACACGGTGTGGTCACCTTCCCGTTTGGGGACCCCCGAGAAATCGGCACCTACACCAACACCGGAGTCTGCCTCAACCGGGAGAAGCTGATTCTAGAATGTTGGCGTTGGTGGTAATAGTTCGGTCACCTTGGAGCCCGAGATTACCACCATCACCGAGATCGGGATCATCTTCCTTGACTACCTACCAGACCACCCCAGCCCAACCCGAAGACCCGAATTTCGGGTTGGGGGTGGGTACGGGTTCCATATGTGTGTTTTTCAATGTTCCCCGACGCCCCCCCACTGGAAATGGAGGGCAAATCGGGGCCTGCGGGTTGGGTTGGAGTGGTTTGGTGGGCGGTGATTCCCTCGGTGGAGGCACCCCACCGACATTGGTGTTGGTGTCAACCTCCAGGCCTCCGATGTCGTGATCTCTCCACGGCGCGAGCACGTCTGAGCAGTCTCGGGAGGTGCTCCGTCACGCTGCGGTCCGGGGCGCCGAGCCGCCGTCCCGGCGGCGCGCCCGCCGAGCGGGCTCATCAATCGAGGGGGAGGATCGGGCGCCGCCCTGTCGCCCGTTGTGGGCGAAGGCGGGGACGCGCGAGCCCACTGACCAGCGACAGCACAGCCAAGACTATGCAAGGGCCCCCGGGGGGCGGAAGGCCATCTTTGGCGAAAAAAACTCCGTCGCGATCTGCTTTGCAACGAGTGGAGGCGGGGGGAGAGCAAGGGCGCAGGAGTGGGGACGCGGGCGGCGGCGAGGCGAGGGCGACGGGGGCGGAGAGGAAGTGGCAACAGCATCGCGCTATGCGAGAAGAGGAGAGGAGGGGGGAGGCAGGAGAGAGAGAGGGCGACGGCACTGGAGAGTCCGTG